CGGTCGTAGACGCGTCTGCTGTGGTTTCCCCTCTCTTGAAGTCCCTGGGTGTCTCTTTCGATAGAAAACGTACAGTCCCAGGGTACCGTCTTTCTGCATGATAAGCTCGATGCTTACCATGTCTTTATCTCTCAAGGTAGTATCGTTTACCATTTTCAGGCTGAGTATAGAATTGCTACCGTATCTAGCTTCAGTGTGGAATTCACAGAATGTCGCCTGTCTAACTAAGGACACCTCATGTTCCAAAACTAGCTTAGCATGATAGAATGGTATTTCCTATAATGTAACAATATCTGAGTGGTTGAACGTGCATCTTGTTGTTGCACCCATACATCCACAGGCCGCTGACAGCTATCTGGTGGCCTGTTGCTGGTGGTGAGAGATAGAGCGAGGTTGATCCTCGGCGCGTTTTTTCTCACTATAATGCATCGGATGTGCAGTCGGTCCAGTGTGTGCTTTGTAGTATGTTGTGGCTGGCTGCGGGCTGAGAGTCAGATTCAATATCTCCCCCTTAATATGACCTTTATGGCGCTCCGTGTCGGGAGCATGCCTAGCGAGACGTGCTGTTTGGTGCGCTTGTTGAGTGGTTTTCGCGCTAACTCTCTGCGCTCTCCCACATTTTCGGCGTTCTTGACTCTGTATTGACGATGGTTCCCGGTGCGGTGTAGGTCAGAGCGTAGGGTAAACCCGACGTGTTTGCCTCCATTATCACCAGCGACAGTCACCGCGTGCTTCAATTTGCTGAACCTGGTAGTGGATATCGCCGAAATCGACGGTCGAGCTATCGGTACGATGATCCGCAGTGACTCATCCGCTTTATGCACTTATCGACAGAGGGCCTCTGGGCTTCAGCGGCTGGTATTAGAGGCATGTATTATTGCTGCCAAGGACTTTGGAGACCCGAGTGGCTCATGGACCGTTGGGAGCAAGTTATATCGAGCCCTTGGTTGCGTCCCACTCAGGACCTTTTGATGAGAATTGAAAGCCCTCACCAATGAGTAGCGTGCTCGTTGGCTCGGCTGTTGTAATTGTGCGGTATATACCCTTCTTGGTGAAAGTTCAACTAAACGCTAACGAAATTCGTTTGTTCCACCCTGTCTATATTCTCGACATCGGCCCTCATAGCCTTTGCAACTGGTGACATAGGCAGATAGCATTGCCGACAAAGAGAAGGGAGACTGGAATGATCATTTCTGGCTTATTGGCCATCGACAAGCTGTTCTAAATATGAGCGGCCGGAAATCAACCCCTGTTGACCGCCACAGTTACAACATGCCCAATCTGAACGGTAGGCACATACAGCAGCTTTTTACGATTTTGTAACGTTCAAAATATTTCCTAGTATCTCCTGGTCTTATAACTTTATAACACCTTGGAGGAGTCATATGAAGTAGCATCTTCTGGATGTCATTCAGCCATGGCTTTTGAGTAATGTTCGATGCATGTAAGATGGTTTGTGAGATATTTCCTCTTTTGAACGAAACGATTCTTTAGCGAGGTACTTTGTCAGCAAGAGATAAAGATAAAGTGCAGAGATAGAGCAAGCAACCTTCATAAGAGCAGGTAAAGAAATCAACAGCCATAGTGATAATTACTCATAGTTGTATACGATATATCTTGCCTGATGATCGTTTCTTATATATATGTAAGCATAAGAATGCGTCTTTTAACAGTGTTATTTTCAAGAGGCTCGTCTCTGTATCAACCATTAGAATTGGCTGAGCTTTTTTGCCCGTCACAGTGCATTTTATTGATTATTTGGTAGGGATTCCTTGTGTGGCCGCCTAGGGAACGTGTTAAGCGCGCCCCCCAGGCTCACAGGCACCTGATTTTACGGGAGAGGACGGGCGGGGCATACCAAGGAACAAATAAGATCGCAGTATTTATGTAAAATAAAAATAAATTGCTAGGACAAGTTGGTTCCCGTACCTTGGGCGAAGACACTAAAGTGGGCTTGAATATCATCAAAGAACCCCGCCAGCTTGCAGAAATACAAATAAAGATTCATACTGCGCTGCAATGGGATGTTGCGTTGTTTAGCCCATTTGTCTGGTAATGTAATTATTGCTGAAAAGTTAGAGTTAAACCAAAGAAATGTTTGACTTCTCGTCAGAATGGACCAAATAACCTCTTTTACGATCATACCAAGTTGTGTGTCAGCTTAATGGATTTTCAAGCAGTTGACTTGGTTTCTACAATACTAGTTGTCTCATGGAAGCAAAATCAGTTTCGGAAAGGATAATATCCTCCCTAGATATCATCGCCGATTTCTCTACGAATGTAAGTTGGTAGAGAGGAAGAACGAAGGAACATAGCCAATTCCCTGTTTAGTCAATTATTGGCCTCAATAAATAAATAAATAAATTTTATATTTTAGGCCCGAAGGGCCTCGTCATTGCAAACTTAGTGCTGTGGAAAAATAAATACAAAGTTGATAAAGGCTGCTTGACAAAAATCTGATAAATAAATAAATAAATTTTATATTTTAGGCCCGGAGGGCCTAGCAAACTAGTGCTGTGGAAAAATAAATACAAAGTTGATAAATGCTGCTCTCTGTGAAAATAAGTAAATTTTATATTTTAGGCCCGGAGGGCCTCGTCATTGCAAACTTCGTAAATACAAAGTTGATAAATGCTGCTCTCTGTGAAACAACCACATAGGCAGCGCCAACAGCAAATACGTTTTGGCTACTCCTACTAGAAGTATAGGAATACACGTGACCTAAGGAATACGTTCTAAGCGGGGCACAGTGCACTCCTAAATCAAGTATGGTTAGAAGAAAGGGCTGATCTTGTAAATAGTTATATATCAAGAAAAGCATTGAGCTTACTACTTACATTAAATGGGTGCTATCACAAGACGTAAAAACTTGTTAAGGCGTCTGAGGCAGCTCAACGATCCCCTGTTATAAGGTAGGGGCACCTGCTCACGTCACTACACAGGCTTGCGTGCTATGTTGTTACTCATGCCCAAACTTGTAGCGCAGGCCCACAAGCCACGGCATTTTTTGGCCAAATATACATATTAGTGGAGTGCAACTTTGACAACGTACAGGCTGCAACGTACTCTTGGTATACAAGAATATCTGATAATAATTCAGTTCAGTTCATTTTATTTGAAGAAAATGTAGATGTGTACCTCTGAAATCCATGTTTGATACGTTATGGTAGCAAAAAGTGCAAAAAACATATCAGTAAACAAAGGAGAGTTTGACAGTGCCAAGGAAAATTTCACTTGAGATAGGAGGATAGCAGGAATAAAATTGGCGTTAAGCAACGCATAAAGGACAGACAAAAAATTCTAAGGACGTCACCCCAACCTCTCTTTTAAAATTTAAAAAAAATTGTTCGCCAAAACCAAAAAACCGGGAAACGTTGACGAAATTCTGACGACTTATTAGTTATTCGGCCTCACAGCTTTTGAAATGGCCTGAAGCACAAAGGTGGCCTCCTTGATCAATTCATCCACTGATATATCCGATTTCACCCTGATGGCCAGCCAATCTCGTGCCTTCTTTGACATAAGTTGCCATTCCCGCCGACGATCAGCGACCTCTGTTTTCAAGAAAGCGATCACTAGCGCCGTTGCCCAGACCGCGTCTTCTTTTCCAGCCACTGAAGATTGAAAAGGAAATTCACTCACTTGGCAAACAGCTGACGAATGGGCTTCTACCTAACATACATTTCCATCTGGCTAGTATACTCCTGTGGTGAGGCTTCCAATTTTAGGAATGAAGGAATAAGTCGAACTGGAGCTTTGAACGAGGAGACTATCAATGCTAACTAGATGCAGTAGTCGCCAAAGACCATGCAATTTTCATAACTTCGTATAAGTTTCATCAGTACTCGAATACCAGTGTGAATGCAGTTAGGAAGATTTAGAAATAATAATGAACTGCATTAGGCATATTGAGTATATAAACGAACTATAGGAATAAGTAAGTGTTTGTAAAGAAAAATAAAATTTTCTCCATGATCCTGTGGTTCTCGAGACGTAGAAAAGTGCTATAAATTAAAACAATAAATTTGGATATTTTCAGTCAGTTTATTTGGTGGGGATAATAGGCAATGCCTTTGAAAACCCTATTTAGCACGTGTACAAGCACCTATAAAG